AAGTGACATTAACCCAAGCAATTATCATCCTTTTTAAATTAGAATGAACTTATAAAATACTGCTTTATTCAAAAACAAAACTTCAACGAATTAAAAGTTATTTTTTGAGTTACTTATTTTTTTTTTTTTTTGTTTCAAAGCTGTTCTCGAAACTGTAGTTCAACAAATTATATACGGACTATAAACTAATTAAATAAAAAATTGAATATTTCATTATGACCACTGATAATGAGTACTTGGTAATACTCGAAACAGCGTTTTATAGTCAGTCAAATTTCAATAAATTAATTAAAAAATGTTTGTTGTTACTTCTTTATTACCATTCAAACACTTCTGATCTCAAATTTGCTTGGTTATTTAAAGCAGAAAAGTCATTTTTTGAAGAGGAGGCATCCATATGTTAGTGTAAATGTTAAGGTTTCGTGCCATTAATGTACACTTAACGATATCTCTTTCGGAAAGATTTATGTAACATAATATATATTAAATTTGACTAAAATTACTTGAAACCATAAAGGACCTTTAAAAGCTTTTTGTGCATATTTTGAAAATTATTACTTTGTATTATTTAAGTTGCATTAAAATATTTTCTTTTAAGTAGCAGTTAGTTAAATATAAATTTGAGTAAAAAGCCTTAATAAATATCTATTTCATGCTAAAACCGCATAATATATTTCATTAATGTTTTTTTTTGTTTCGAAATTGCTAAAACACTAATTAGCATTATCCTTCAGAGCTAATATTATTCCATTAGTTAAAAACCACAAACAAATGGAATCATTATGTCTAGTTTTGCTGGTGTTAATGTTGCAATTGAGTCCTGCATGCAGTCCTAAAAAATGCAATTGTAGGCCAAACAATTTAGAACTCCAATAGCAAGCAATCCCATGAGAAACCAACGTTGCGGTAGTAGTTATAGCTTATAAAACAACAACAACGCCAATTGTAAAATACAATGAAAACTGGAACAAAAGTATAGACTGAAGTATATTGCATAAATACCGGAAATAACTTCAAAACCGATAGTCTGCATGCCTTGAGTTGTGGTACAGCTAACAGCATCCGTTACACTTGCTTACATGTATGTTAAACGTATTTGCTTTTATAAGTATATTTACGTATATGCGTTTATATGTATATATGCGTATATGCATTTATATGCGTATATGCGTTTATATGTATATATGCGTATATGCATTTATATGCGTATATGCGTTTATATGTATATATGCAGTTATATGTATGCAGGCATTTATGTGTATATATGCGTAGAAGCGTTTATAAGTACATGTATGCGTATACGCGTTTATAAGTGTATTCTTGCGTTTATGCGTTTATATGTGGGTATGCATATATTTGCGTGTTGGCGCATTTGTATTTGCTTTTGTATGAAATACGTATGACAGAAAATACTCAACGAGAAAAAAATGTTAAATAAGTTCAAATGCCACCACAGACACTACCATGAAACTTTACATACGAAATTCTTTGGCTTTGATTTTTACTTCGGCTTACATTAGCTACAGCTGCATTTGCAGTGGCAATCAGAAACATATATACATACGTACCGATATTGCTGCAGATATGTCCCACACATGCCAAATATTACCGAATGTATGCCAAAAAAATGGAGCCGAAAGTGGCGTTGAATTTTGGAACGTTTTTTAGAGCATAGCGACGGGTGCTTTGAACTGCAATGACTGAACTGCTAAGTGAGCTGCAAGTATGAGTATGCGGAGAACAGTGATTCACACGACTTACATGCACTAACCTTTTGCGTATTTTGTGACACAAAGTGAGTAAATTAAGTCACACGTACACGTAAACGTACATAAGCCATGGACCGTGGACTATACATATTTGGTAAAGCTCTATTATTACACATTGCGCTAAATGCCGTTGACAGTGCTTTGATGAAATGTCAGATATTTTAACCACTTCCGCAGGTACAATTAGAACCATTTATAGCAGTTGAAGTACTTGAGAGGAAATTCATTGCAATTATGGCTATTATTAATTATATAAGGATTAATACTATTATAAGAAAATAGTTCTTAAAATAAAAAAAGTCATTATATACAAAATTATATGTAAAAACATTTTATTAAATCATTATGCAAATTTAGTTTTTTCACAAATATCTACAAGCTTGTAAAAAACAAATCTTTTTCTTTATAAAAATTTTAAAATTTCGAAATTCACTTAACAACTTCCGGACAAGCAAAAATTTTAAGTGCTAAATTTAGTCAGAAACTATGACAAGTATTTGAACACCTCATTATGGACACATACTCATACTCGTACTTGACTTGAAAGCATTTATTTGCAGCCTCTTTTATTTTTTCTAAATGCTTGTTCTTCTTTTTACTAGTTCACATTTGCTTACAACAGGATTTTCTTTGGGTACAAATAGATGTAAAACTAAAAAAAGAGGAAGAAAAATGCTGGAAAGATTTTGAACTTGCACAACGGACAGGAACTGCACACTTTGTTAGCCAACTGAACTGGAAATAAGTACTGTGAAACATGATACGGTGACGGAGCTGTTGATGATACTTGGTGGTGTCGGTGATGCTACTGTAAAAGCCTTTGGCTTGTTTCTGGTTAAAGCAACGATTATCATCATGTAGAATTTTTTTATATATTTTTTTGTTGTGGATGCATTTAGATATAACAAAATTCAAGAGATTAACAGGTCAAGAGTTATGTTTACATTATTAATTTAAAATTAGTATTGTTCGCAAAATTCTACTTAAATTATTAAATAATCTATTATATAATAAGATTTATGAGAAACTTTTTTTATTTATAATTATACTTACAGTAATATTCAACAAGAACCCCTCCGAGCCGTTTGATATCAATGGAGGTTTCAGACAGAGTGACACCTTATTGTATAACTACTTTAACCTAATGTTAGAAAAAATAATTCGAGCAGCAAATTTGTACCGTACTGGCACATTATTTTAAAAAATTGTGATCCTGCCTTCGTATGTTGACAATAATGATATTAGCCTGAACACCCGCACCATCAGTGAGGCTCTATTCAATTCAAATAAACAAGTGAAACAATTGGATCTCGTGGTAAATGAGGACAAAACAAAGAACTTTTTGTTGACAAACAAATTTCCTGAGCGTCTTCAGACTCACATCATTGTTAACAACTATAAGATCGAAGTTGTGAAAAACCAAAAATGACGTCACTGTAGAGTTTCAACGAATAACCACTGTCGCCAACAGATATTACTTTGGTCTACAAGTCTCTTATTATGCCTATTCTGTTGTATAGTGCAGAAATTTGAACAATTATTAACAGTACTAACAGTTATGAAAAGGTGTAAGGTGCGTACTAATGAAAAATTCTTTAGAAGATCTCTTCCGAGTTAGCAACGAATATCATATTGGATGGCATGACGTACTATACCGAAACATTGAAATAGGTAAGCAAGCAAAAATCAGCGTCTTCACTGAAAGAAATTGCTCCCACTAGAAAGGTGTTCAATTCGGTTCCTGATGGTGGAAACCGCTTTAGAAGACGCCCGCATATTCAGTGGAAGGACCAGGTGATCTACGATATGTAGGTACTCGATTCTACCAACTAGCGACATCAAGCCACTAATCACGCTAGCAGAGGAAGGCTGCTAACGAAACAATTACTCAACAATTCAATAATATGACGTCATATTAATGGTGAAATTTATAGTCTAGTATTTATTTATAGTCTTAATAAATTATCTATTGATTAATTAACCAACATATGCAAACAACTGTTTGTAATTTAATAGCACACAAATAAATTTTTGGCAAATTATAATAGATTTAATATTAGTCTAAAACTTAAACTAATCGAACTTTTTAAGCAATTTTTTGTATGAATTTTGTTCGGAAAATGCCACATTTTAGTCGAAATGAATACAAAAGTTTAAATATAGCAAAACATTTGCTGCTAATTTATAACTTGAATTATTTTAAATTCACTAATTTTACCAAAATTAGTTTTAAAACGCCTAGAGCTTGTTAAATATTTCATTTTCATTAAAATTTTAAAATAACATTTAATAATATTATTTATGTTAATACACACTTCACAAAATTCTTCACATAATGTATATAATTAATTATTTATCACATGCATATATGTTCATTAAAATCAAAAATCATATTTAAAATTATTTTTAAGGTTGATTCTTTTTTTCTTTCATCCTGAACGTTACAAACATGCGATTGGGTCTTACAAGATATCGCAATTAATACTAAAGATAATCTATTTTCCAATAAACATTCTCTTTATACATTGTGTTCAAAGCCTAATATATCTCAAAGAACTAACTATAAGCCAAAATTCATAAGAAAAAAATATCATAAAATATACGTAAATTTTATTTTAGTTTGTTAACTAGTGTAATTAAAAAATAATGTTAAAAATATAAAATGTACAGAAGAGCTACTGGAAAAACATTTAGCAAGCAGGCCTATTCTAAACAGGTAAGAAGTTATTTTAATTATTGTCAAACCCACATATTCAAATGTTGAGAAATTTGCAAACCTGAAGAAATGATATGTGAACTAAAATTTATTAACTAAAATATTGTTACCTAAACTTCTATAGGTGAAAACTAGGGAAACGAAGAGTTGACCCTGAAATTGTTGCAATTACCATTTTCGCTAATTTTTTTTTACTGTCGTCACTTTTTTTCTAAGTAATGTGTAGATGTGTTCTAAAGTAATATTAACAAATTGTTGTAGGTTTTATAACTTTTATGATTATTATATTTGCTTCCCTAAGATTGCAAAATTAGTGCAATTCAATATCAATATATGATACTAAATGCAATAAATATATCTAAATTTATAAAAGTCAATTATTTGATTTAATAAATCAATTATTTTAAATAGATAGCCTTGACTGTTTTTTATAAAATTTTTTTATAATACAAATTATGATAGATTTTATTATATTTAAAGTTATTTTAAACTGTCATTAACAATATATTTTTATAGATTAAAAATATATATTTGTAGATATTTATGAGAAGTTCTAATAACAAACGTTTTATAATTATATCATAAATTTTTTTAAAAATTCTTTTAAATGTAGTTTTTAACATTTAAATAGCTCTTCAGAGATGTAACAAGTGTAATAAAATGGCTCAGGTATGTATAAATTTCTTAAACCAGATATTAATTTTTACCTACACCTTATAGAGATAATTTTATGAATCAAATTTCAGACATTTTTAAACATAACCCTTACTTCAAGAAATTCTATAAGTTTATAAATTTTTCATACCAACTTTCGTGGTCATGCAATAATTAGGTAGTATATTATTAATAGATTCGTTTTTGGTTTAATGAATAATAATTTGACTCAACTCTTTACTGAAATGACAATCTATTAACAAAACTTTAAATAAAGTATTACTTATAGTAACAAATTACAACATTAACTACCGCAAGACCAGCAATAATGTATTGCAATTCCAATAATAATTCTATGGAAACTTTCTAACCTTATATAGATATAAAAGTTACGTTCTGAATTCTTTGAATAAAGTATATAGAGCATAAGCTCTGCTCAATTTCATTAAGATTCTGATTAATTTGATTCAGAACGTTTCTATTATATCTGGCTAAAAAATAAGTTATAAAAAAGTCAGTATGAAGAAGAATTTGTATTAGTAAAAAATGCATCATCAACAACCACACCATAACTACAAGCTCTATAGACAATCAGTTTCTTATATATCAAAAATTTGCAAGAGATCGCAGTGCATATGCTTTTCCACAATTTCAAGTCAAATACTGTATTTAGTCCAGTTGAATTCACTGTTCATTGATAACAGTCTGCACACAATATTTTACAAATTATATATAAACTTTAAAATTAATCCTTATAATCGATTGTTATATACTGCTAATAATATAAATCTAATAACATTGTTTTTATAATATGAATACCTAAAATTGTTTTAGACAACATATCATTGCAGACCAAGATACCCATGCGGTAATAAAAATCCTTCAAGAAAAATAAAACTGGATGTCCTGTGCATTATGCACGTTGAGGTTTATCCTAATATCGTTGCACAAGTACAAAAAAAAATTTTCGTGAATTATAAAACAAAAGATAATCCACGTACGGATTTGTTTCATAAAAATTTTTCAAAGGATAATAAAATACACGCAATACAATGTTTTTCATTGATCTTTTTGTTAACAAAATAATATATTTAAAGTTAGGAATAGACCTTATTTTTTTGTTAACGCTACTTGCAATTATATTGTTTGACAAATATTTAAACTTCCTGGAAAATAAATGCAACGGTCGTTTAATCTTATTTCTTACCATTGCACTAAACGACCCTTATAGTCCAACCAGGTACCCATTTTACGTCTACTAAACAGTGATTAACGCCTTTAGTATCTTTCTCTATTGCATCTAAGATAGTTGAAATAAATAATATAACTACCTGTGTCTTCGTGCCATATAAATGACATTTCGACGCATCATCTTACCTGTTCCCAACCACAAGTATAAATTGTGAATCATTCGTATTTATGACATTAGTTTGATTTCAGCATTAGATACGCGCAACTGATATATATGGACGAGATTAATTCTCAAAAACAGAAGAAATTAATAGAAGTCATTCGTTTGAACAAAATGTTTCATCAAAAATCTTCTTACACATTCGATTCATATGATGGTCAAAACCGCAAGTTCCATCATCGTTGGCACGTGCATGGCGATGTTTACGAGTGCAATTCATGCAATAGCAGCTGCGATACAATGGACTCATATAGCAAACATTGGCAAAAAAGAACTCATCAAAATCTCGTCTTGGATAAAGAGAAATTGAATCAATTGCAATTAATCGAAAATAACAATATTGAAACTTTTATGATTTCCGATAAATGTATCAACCATGATGCGCGTAAATTTTTAATTGATATAAGTGTGCATCCGATACCAAATTTGCTACGTTTACTCTTAGTAAGTGCTGAGGAGCTGAAAATTACAGTAATATTCCATGCAAGAATCAAACGTGAAGATTTCAACTTTAAAAGTGCAGAATTTTCAATAGTACATCACTACGATATCATTGAGACTATTGATATGGCATTCATACTATTAGAAACTAAAATAAAAAACTATATAAAATCGACATTGCAAAAAGGTTATTTGATTCGTCATCCTTTTCCTAAGGAATTAAGTGAATTTGAAGTCAGAAGAGTAACACTAAAAATCAAGCGGGAAAATAAAATTATAAAAGGTGTACGGAAAACACCTTTACAATTACCTCTACAATTTCGCATAAAAGACACGGAAGATTATGAGAAGTACATATTACGGAATAGAGATGAAGAGGAATCTGAACAGCAACATCGACGATGTCAATACGAGTATGCATGTAATTTTTTTGGTGATTTAGAAGAAAATGAGGAAATATTCAATGCTGATGAAACTCCACCACTTACTAATCAAGTTGATATAAAAGATGTTGAAGCGGCATATGTGGAGCATCAAAAAATTGGTAACATGGATCCATTGAATAATATGCCAAAAACTAATTTGTATTGCTTCCAAGTCTGTCAGAACTCATGTGAATTATATGCTGTGCCTTATCATCTCACCACTCCAATTGAAGATACCAAGGCACCAAATTTCATCATACTTAATGATGTACAAGGGCGTTTTCAAAACTTGCTACAAATTAGCGATATTGAACGTTTCTTATTACTGGATTTACCAGATCGTGCCATGGGTTGTGATAGATGCAATTTCAAATTCTGGATAATAAGCAAATTCACTCTCCATAAAATGTTCAAGTGCGGCGCAGATTTTACAATTACCAAACTTCAATCAGAAAGCGTCGAAATCTACGAACACTGCTTCGAATTGAAGCCCTCAAGTGATAAATGGACTGTATATGGAGTTGCAGAATAATTTCCTTAAATTTATTATTTAATAATAAAAAAAAATGTTTTGAAAACCATACAAAAAAACACCAAAAAAAAATTGTAAATTAATTATTATTTATTTATGAAAATCATCAAATTTTATTAATCATTAAGTTCATGAAAATCAAAGTTGAATTAAATTTTAAATACAAGTAAAAAAACATGTTAACTTTACATATAAGAAATATAATAAAAAAATTATATTTTTATAATAATCTAAGTTGTTCTATTCTTCTCTAACAATAGTCATATCATATCATATTATAGATTAGAAATTTATAGCAATTATAGTATATGAAATACTATGAAAGCTATGAAATTTTAGCCGTCCGCAGATGTGACAAAGTATTTATGGACTATCGTGACTAAAGTAAAATTCTGATCAACTGTTTGAAATCGTAAAAAATGAAAACAATGATCTCATATTTTTTTATCTATCATAAACTCTACATGTAGGACTACCATACAGATCTTAAAATAATGATTCATACATAAAGAAATCCACAATGATTCCCTTTTAATATTTCATATCATAATGCACAATTTGATCATCATAGCAAATTCCAAACTCATCTATGAGACTACCTCATAGATGTTAAAGTCAGTTGCTCTTTTATCTATCCAAAGACTCTTTTTTGTAAATTAATATATTTATATCTTGCATGTTTCATAGAACTTTAATTATGATTAAATAAATATGACCCACATATATACGTATAAGTTCATTTATGGCACCGCATACTATCCATGTACATTCCAAATAAAGACAATAATGTATTGGAAATTTCTGTGAAACTCTTAAAACCTCATTTTGTTTTACCGCAACTTTAACAGCTTAACAGCTTAAAATGGATTTACTTGTTCATATATAAAGTCCATGCGGTACTATAGCAATTATCTCCATAGTGCATACAAAGTCATTACTCGTACTATATGTATGTATATCGAATCAATTGCTTTTTAAATTTACCATACGTATAAGATCACGTGAGACTTTTACGAATATGGAAAGCATTAAGGATACAAATTTACTCATTAAAATGCAGTCTCCCGAGCACATATAAACGATTAAAAGTGATTACGACCACAACGCATTTACATTTCCTTTAGAATTTCATTAACACAGTGGCTTACAAATACACACGAATGTGGTCAATTTCACTCTCCATTTTATGCTTATTCCTGAGTACACACACACCAGCACACATAAAATTCCGCCATTTCGTGAATTGCTTTTGTATTAAACAATTTTGCTTAAGTATGCCATTTCCGCATTTGTAGCCATTATTGTATGTCGTCATTTGTTTTAGGAACGAATTTTATGAAACGAAATATTTATAAAAATAAACGAATTTCTTCGATTTGTGGTTGGAGATAATATAATACTATATATATAATATACATAAGATTATATGCTTTCAAATCATTTTATTATTATTTTTTGTTATTGCACTTTTGTGTATATAAATCTTAGTATCAATATATTATTAATATTATATGTAAAAAAAATGTAAACAAAATTAAATTAATGAAAATATATCCTCAGGGACCTCAATAGTGATACGATCAAAAAATACATGAACGATAGACCCCTGAAATTATTCACGAAAACTGACAGGCTTACCAACACCGCGTTATATAATCTCAAAATAATTACAGGCTCCTCGGGGAGATATGCAGATCAGACGTCAATTATGAAGTTATAAACAATAATATAGTCAAGGCGTAGAGATGGGTTATGAAGAAACCTTGCAGTTAATAGAGAGTAAAAGTGCTTAACTGCACTGACTCAACTAGCCTCCACATAATAATTAATTAATTTTTTCAGTACCCAAGATCTGTCCTCTTTAAAAAATTCTATCGTTTTTTTTTCATTTTTTGTTTCAACCGCAATAATAGTGTCTTCGGTGGATTGACTAAATCGAGGGTGCACTAACCCGATTTCTAAGTAAGTAAGTAAAAGTTTTGACGACGTTAAAGTGACAACAGCAATATATAACTTGTTCTTAATCGATGTTTATTCAAATTCTCACACCGAAAGCAGGCTAACCAATTCGACGAATTGGAACGTAAGAACAGTGTATCAAGCTGATCAACTCGCTATGCAGGGCCAACATAAGAGATGTCGACCTAAAATAACATTCTAGCATGTTGCGAGCGCCCAGTTTCAAAAATAATGTAAAAGTGACCTTATGTAGCAAACGTAAAAGATTTCGTCAAAAATAACTTCATTAATTTTGATTTGGATAAAATCTTTGAACTCTTTTTTTAAAATAAAACTACTTGTAATTTGATTAAAAATATTTGTATTTGTTTCCTAAGAGATATAAACCTTTGGGATTTTGAGAGTTTGCATATTAGACCAATTTTTAAATATGTTTTAGGTTCTCTAAATCGGGGTGTCCAGATCAAATTATAGGCTATAGAACAGCAAAAATAGGTACACACATTCATAATCGTGTTTTGGACAGCCCTGCTCTAAATGATCAAGGTTTAAAATTTGCTGCATTATGAAAATAAAAATGAAAAAAATATTGCATTTGTTAAAGAATCTCCAATATTCAGTGTTGATTTCAATTCCAGTGTTATGAAATGTAATACCTCTTTTATTCTCACAGTGTATATTTCTAATAATTACTTGCGAAGCTTTATTTTTATATTCGTAACAATTAAAAGTTTATTCCAACTATGACTGTATAATTGTGTCTGAGAGTGTCTGACGTTGTAGAATATATTCTAATTTTCCAAATGTAAGGTAGTCTTTATTAATTTAAATATTTCTTTCTCCATGACAGCATTAAAGAAACATGTCGTCTATGTTTGTTTAATATTGGAATCAAGTTATTACATTTCAAAAAGTGTTGCAAAATGATTGTCAAGTAATTGTCATTATGTCTACTCATTAACACTAGGTATTAAATATGTAATTATGCATATCATACACATTCAGCTATACCATATTTCATTGCACATGGGAAAAATTAAGAATTTTTAATATTAAATGCTTTCAGTGAAATCTCACTCCAGTTATTACGTTAAATTGTTTTAACCTAAAACCTTGTAACTACTTTAAACACATTTTAACTTTAATTTATTTTTATAGCAAATTGAAAAAATATGGTAAATTTGCTCAGTGCAATGTGTGGCATTTTAATCCTTTGTCATTATCTGTTTCTGTGCTTTTTCGTGCTACTTTTTTATACATAACTCACATTGCCACTGACCGTAAAAATTATAAAACAAAAAAAGAGAGTATACATATCCATATATATATATATATAGCTATATATGTATATATGTGTATATATATAATGCATTGAGAAAAGCAGAAACAGCTAGTACGTATCCAACTTAATACGACGACCTACATGTGGACATGCCATGGACTATGCACTGGGACTTGTGTGCACGTACAGAAATCTACTTTATTCAGTTTTATGTTTTAAAATGTTTCATACACATTTCGTAGCAAGCAATTAACTTCCCTATACCATCATGCCCTATAACATCCTTACACACATACGATCTATCCACACTCAGACATACCAAAACTGCTTTCATTTTCGCTTTCACAGTTCTAAAAAATGGCAGTTTATTTCTATCGTTAACTTAATTTTTTCTTTGGAAAAAAAGTAGAAAAAAATTAAAAAGAATTATAAATAAAATGAGTTAAAAAGTGAAATATTAATGAAATTCATAAAGGGGTGATTCGTCAAGCATACTCAGCGATACTAACTTCCTTTTCCAAGTATTACAAAATATTTCAAGAGGTTAACCTATTTTTTTTTTTCGTCTTGTTTTCTGGACTCTTAGCTCTGCGTTCCGGCCTGTGCCTAAGCCAAGCTTTTTCATTTCGGTTTCGGTAGTAACTTTTTAATGTTGTGGTTTTCTGTGTCAATTAAGCACTTCCCTTTTATGTTGAATTTGATTTTAGGTGCTTTTATTTGGTTACATTTTTTAACTACGGATTTAATTTGAAAAAATTACTCGGTTTCACTTTTTTGGTTGATGTAATTAACCCTTTTTCTTTTCTAAGCTGAAATGGAAATTTGAACCAATTAAATCAACAAAATGCAAACAAATTGAAAAAGTATTAATAAAAAGCGCTTTCGTTGGCTACTTAGAAGTGCAAGCTTCTTAATAACAATTTTATAGAATATTTTAGTCTGTAGTAATTAACCACTTGGAAAAATCATTAAGAAAAATTTAAAGAAAAACGTTAGTGAATAAAAAGATTAGCAAAATTTTTTAAAGTGCAGTCTAATGCTTTATTCCGCAGTTCAATTAATAAACACTTAGACTAGTTTTCAGACAAATATTTTCAAATTTCGAGAACTATTTCTATAATGAAATTTTCCGTAGTGTAGCGTTCAGAATCGAAACGATTTGAATATTACTCAGTATTTACTCAGTACTTAGATTTTTAATCATTACTCAGTAATGTAGGAATAAGAAGCTGTAATTACATAGTTTGAATCCTCTGATTTGAGTTCATTCCATCCATCATGTAATCTTATGGCTAAACAATCAAAAAATGTCAGACCAATTGTCCTTAACAGCTTTAAGAACATATATACTTACTTATACTTCAAATTTATTCAATACTTTAAGAAATACTTTAAAAAATGCTTACAGATTTATATTTACAAGTCGTTTACATCATCGGATATTAACAGATTATTTTAGTTCAAACTTTTTTCTGGTGCAGTAGGTGGAAAGTATCGACAGCCACAGTGTGAGACTTTAACCCACCAAAAACCACCACCTAAAAATAAATTAAGAAAATTTCCACCTCAGTGTGGCAACTTTAATCCAGTAATAAAAGTATTAGCTGTACTCTATCAGGAGCATAAACTTGTTATGTAGAATCTCCCACTATTTTTATCTCTAGAAATATAACATAATTCATTTAAAGATTTATTAGTTTCATTTGTTATCGTTCTAAACCATATGTTGCTTTGAGGATTCCCTTCAGGTGTCGCGTGACATATTTCGTCGTACGGCTTTCGAAAAATGTGTCCAAGCCA